ATGTAACTGTCTACACAGTAATGTAACGACAATGTAAATTATTTGAGCATCGCACGGAAAGGTTGATGAGAGTGTTGAAAAGTTGATCAACTCGTCAACTTTTTAACTAAAAGTGGATAGTGTAAAGCCAGCTTAAGACTGCCAAGTCAAGCATCTTGCGCACGGCACAGTATGCAGGAATCAGTCACGCTCCACTGCCGTGTGTCAGCAGTCAGTGCTTCAAACACAGCTTGTTCTGCTAGCATCTATGACAAATTCGACATACGCATATGCGCTCTCCTATGACACTATATTTGTCATAGGAAGATTCTTCCTATGACAAATATTGTTGTATGTGTTGTGCGCATCATAGGAGTTTAGGAGCGCTATTATGAACGCAAGCAGTGAATTTGAGCTGTAAAGCGGAACGAAGTTGACTCGCCAAAATTTGTCATAGGAAGAATCTTCCTATGACAAATAGTGTCATAGGAGAGCGTATATATGCGTATGTACTATTTGTCATAGATGCAATCAGAACATGTTGCTATAATCACGTGGGTTTCCTACACACCTATTCTTACTCGTCACCATAGTTAACATTTACGATGCCGATAATATTAGCCACGCTAAGCGCATATGTCGCTGTTCCACGAACATGTGTTGTTTTTTCGAGCGAAAAAGAGATGGGATCATTTCGTCCAATTCTGCCTTAGAACATAATCGCATGCGACTGTCCCACGCCATCGACTAGGGGCACAATCTACGCACACGAAATCACTGGTGGCACGATAATCGGGCAGTATCTGCGTGAAATTCCTAATAGATCGTGCACTGGATGCGATTTCGGCTATATATTCCGACATTTATCTGCCTAGCCAACCGAATATGGGTCATAAATCAAGTAGATTGAACGGCCCATGCAGTTATCGATGACCTAGCCGAGTGCATTGTGACTAACTGTGTATAACTAAGAAGAAAACAGCCCAAGGGAAACAACGGCCCTGATAACGTAAATCCATGAATCAGTGCGCTCGATGTGATTTTATATTTAAGATACACGTCAATTTCAATAAAACGAAAGATGAACTCGAATGAATGTATCCTGAACTTTAAACATGCAGTTACAGTGCATTAGTCTATGGCAGCGTGCATTTACTTGTGTACATTATGTAGTGACTGTCTATAGTAACCAGAGAGCATTGCACTGGGAATTGTTCACCTTGCCTTCCTACCACGCCCCTTTAATTTATTGTTACAGCCGACATAATAATCATGAACAAATATTGGACGTACGTGGTAAACAAAAAGTGACATCTAGACAATCAGAGCAACCGCGAAACCAACGAAGAGCAACAGAGCGCATACAAAACATGGAGACAGCCAGAATGTTTTCTCCCACGTATGAAAAATAATAATAATACAATTTCTTTCCAAGCTACGCTGTTTAGGAGATCAAATAAGATGGATGCCCGATGGGCGTCGCACTCGCTTACCGCCTCGGAGATCTGCCGAAGCACCTATGTATGCGAAGCTGTCCATGTTGATGACATCTATGATCGGACACACGACGCGAGTTCTGTTCTGCAACGACACAAGAGCAAAACATTTTCGCGTTTTATTCACCGCCTGTCGTCTGCGATGAGAGCACGAGCATCATTCACGCACGCACGCACGCACGCACGCACGCACCCCCCCCCCCCACTACACGCACGCACGCACGCACGCACGCACGCACGCACGCACGCACGCACGCACGCACACAGACACACAGTCACACCGACACGCACGCATACGCACACGCATACGCACACGCACTGTCTGTAGGCTCGGGAGGTGTGTGTGTGTGTGTGTGTGTGTGCGTGCGTGCGTGCGTGCGTGCGTGCGTGCGTGCGTGTGTGTAAGTGCGTGCGTGCGTGCGTGCGTGCGTGCGTGCGTGCGCTGCCAGATCTCGATCTCTGTCATTAATTTATTTCATTCGTTCAAGATCAGGGGGCTGTTGTCAGAAAAATCGCAAAGTTAATGTCAATATCAATGCTTACCGACTGTTTCTGTAATTCAGATAAAACTATCATATATGGATAATTCGCCACTGTAATATATAGTGCTAATTACACACACCAACGCACACACTGATAGAGAGATTTGTATTTCTGTTTTTAGGGACACAAAATAAACCCCTATTACGAATTCTGGACACTTGCACTAATCATAATCACAAAAGGATTTATTTTATCACGATAATTCCCTCAAATCTTCTCGCATGAATTCGTTTATTACAATTACCAGCACAGCACTTTAATTGGGGTTTACAATTACATACTACAATCACGATTAAGTGCTTAATTTTACTGACACGAAATTCCTTTTTCTACAGGTTCATTTGGGGACACTGACAATCTCTCAACGGATGCTAATCTACTCCATCAATAAAACGCAAGTAGGAAAATAAAGTGCCACTCACAAAGGATATCTGCATGAAGTAGTAACTGGTGCGAACACACGCGACGCAGAGGAATTTTGCAGCCTGAGAGCTATAGCCACGGGAAGACAGTTAGTCGATAACTTCTACATAGTGTATGGACACCACGTAAGGCGGACAGAGATCCGAGGAGTCTCCATTTCAAAGAGTAAAGCTGTTCTATAAGCTTCAATGAGCCGTTATAGGCTATTTACGAGTTGAACTATAGCTACCATGAACAGAAATACAGTTATCTTTTCATGGTTGGCCGAGGAGCAACAAAAACATCAACAACACCAACAACACAACAATAATAACAACAATAACTACCACTACCACCACCACTACCACTACCACTATCACTACCACTACCACTACCACTACCACTACCACTACCACTACTACTACTACTATACTACAACAGCAACTACAACGAAATCCGCAGCAGCAGCAACTGTGCTACAAATGCTGCCAAATCTCCTCCTCCTCCTCCTCCTCCTCCTCCTCTTGACCAACTCTCCATGTAAAAAACGCCACCTACCTCCGCTACTCTAGTCAGAAGCGGCTCCAGCCAGCCCTTGTTGCATTCACAGTGGCTGTCCAGGAACGTCAGGATATCTCCGATTGCAGAGTCCGCTCCTTTCACCCTCGACCTCATGAGACCCTCCCGCCGGTCATTGCGCATCACACGCACTTTCTGGATCTTTGCCAACTCTGTCCCGGCAGACGCTGGCGAAGACGAAATCAGATGCCATTGCAAAAAAAATCTCGTTTCGGCAACCAGCTTACGAACAAGAACTCGGATCGCCTGCTCATTTGGACAGTCGAAGTCCCAGTGGAATATATACGCAGCGTACACCAAATCTTCAACATGTTCTGCTTGCATCTATGACAAATACGACATACGTATATACGCTCTCCTATGACACTATTTGTCATAGGAAGATTCTTCCTATGGCTATGACAAATATTGGCGAGTCAACTTGGTTCCGCTTTACAGCTGAAATTTACTGCTTGCATTCATAATAGCGCTCCTAAACTCCTATGATGCGCACAACACATACAACAATATTTGTCATAGGAAGAATCTTCCTATAACAAATAGTGTCATAGGAGAGCGTATATGCGTATGTCGTATTTATCACAGATGCTAGCAGAACAGGCTGAAATCTTACAGGAACAACAACAACAACCACCGACTGTGGCGCGCATGTCGGATCATACGTCGGTGCGATACGATCATCCCAATTTTGCAGGAAAAATACCAAAGCCAGCCGCAGCCGCCGCCGCAGCCGCAGCCGCCGCCGCCGCCGCAGCCGCGCGCGCGATAACTGCATACACGTTATCGCGTCCACGCGAACGCGCGCGCGTAATTTCAACGTGTACTTACGATCGTCGCTGAAGTCGTCGACTAGGATGATCTCCTTTATCAGGTGAGCGGGGCTGCGATTCAGCACGCTGCGCAGAGAAAGAGAGAAAAGCACGGCCTGTAGGCAACATCTCGATGCACACATCCACGCGATGACCGGCCAGGCGAGCACGTTTAATATTCAATCATGACGAACGCTGAAGCTTTGTGCGCCTACCTGACAACAGTGCGTAGTAACGTCGACCTGGCTTCATTGTGGAAGGTGATAATCACACTTGTTGCTGGCAGGTCCTCACTGAAGGTCGCATGCTTGCACCTGCATAGAAATAAACGTTGCCATTACCTACACTAATTGACCAATAACCTTATTGACCTTTACCCTCTAGTCTCTACTGTCTATTATTTCACTGTTTACTATTTCAACACTTCCCTACACCTCCCTACTCTTTCACTCCTGCGATACTAAGTATATATATATATATATATATGTGTGTGTGTGTGTGTGTGTGTGGATGGGCCTCTCCTTTCTCTTTGCTTGCAAATGCCTCAACAACATCTCACTTAAGTGTCACTACACACTTGTGTCATACATTATCTCTGGCAATCCACAATGAAAGTGTCAATGACACTGTATATACGTAGCTCACCACAAATAACGTTTTTATAATATTCAGATTAATGAACTGCCTATAAAAGCGGAGCTCCTGATGTGTAACGTGTAAGATTGAGAGGATACGCTTATTCCACGTAGCTGCTATCAAGAGTGGATAATAGAGATTAGAGATGGAGATAGTCTCTATTATCCACTCTTGCTGCTATGTACCACGTGACAATGGTGTTTCCCTGCCCATAACACAACTTTTGTCAAAGGTTAATTGGTTGTATGGAAGTGTTTACTTCGTATGAGTTTTTAGGGTTAGGCGGTAGCACACGGTTGCCATCTGTATATATCGCAATAATAATGTATAAACCAAAATGAATCACAATTTGTTACGGTAGATAGCGCTATACCCGCTTTGTAGCAATGGCATTCGAAATAAATAGATTATGCTGCGTTCCGACATGTTTTGTAAAACTTTACTCTAATAATATAGACATTTTATCGGCAGGCTGGAGAGGAAATACCAATATTGCATTAAAGATATTGTCAATGAAATCTTGTAAAACGAACCAGATGAGTGTGACACCACAGACTGTTTGTTATCGGCGTTTTTTGCATAAATTGCATAAACCTACCTAATTTGCATAGCTTGACTAGCTTGACGATGTCAAGGTGAGCTAAAAATCGAACATTTCGGGAGGTCTTGAGAAATTTCTGGCGTACACACGAACATCCCAGATGCCCCGAAAATAACCACCATCATCATTCAAGTCCATCATCATCCATGAATGCACGCGTGGCAATACATCCCATCCACGCCATCCTGTCACCGCCACCCATCCATCATCCAGTCCATGCGGTGCATAGCCGTCGTCCGTCCGTCCGTCCGTCCGTCCCGTCGGCGTCCGTCCCGTCGTTCGTCGGTCCATCCATCATGCATCCATCCATCGATGCCTTCCATCCATCCATCTCATCTTATCCATCCCTCTATCCATCTATGCCATCCACCCATCCATTCACGCCATCCACGCCATGTATCAATCAATCAATCCATGCCTATGCCATCCCATCCATCCATCCATCTCTCCATCCATCCGCATCCATCCATCCATCATCCATCCATCGCATCCATCATCCATTCCATCATCCAATCATCCATCCTCCATCCATCCCAGCCATCCATCCATCCATCCATCCCATCATCCATCCATCCATCCATCCATCCATTCATCCCATTCCCATCCATCCATCCAGCCATCCAGAAGGCCCCAGGGCCGCCAGCCAGACACAGCCAGCCATCCATCCATCCAGCCACGCGCAGCCAGCCACCATCCCATCGCTATCCAATCCATCCATCATCCCTTCTTCCGTTCCTATTCGAGCACATATGTGTGAGTTAATTTGATTTACATCATGGTGGGTATTACGTTCCCATTTCTCATTCTGCGTCGTACTGCGTAGTTAATCACATCGTTAGCATAAGGGTTTAACACCGGTGAGAACGTACAACTGTGCACCGACAGGCAGTGAACCATAGGGCGTTCCTATACCTAGTATTTTCACAAAGAAAGCACTATTCATATTGCTCCCGCTCCTTTTAATTGAACTGCACCCCCCATTGTCTGCTCGTGGGTTGTTTTTCTGTCTGGGGCAATCATCTACTGTCGTTGA